AAAACTACCCTTATTTGTTCAATATACTCTCTCAAAACCCTATCTCATTTTTTATTTACCATTTTCCTTTATCGTTTTGCGTTTCTATCTTTTTCTCTATTCTCTGTTCTTTCTTCTTTGTTTTTTTTTTTTTTGCTCTCTCCGACAAATCTTCTCCTCGCCGCCGCCGTCGCAAGATGAAGAAATGCATAGAGTCTAACCGTCGGCGCCTATCAAAAGAAAACCTCGTATCGAACTCTAATTTGATAGCGATTCTGAGTTCGAATGCCACGATTGTTACATCGACGGCGAAAAGAGGTAAAATTGTCGATTGGAATCGGATTTTGATGGGTGGTGGTTCTACTTTGGTTGGTGGCTTTGTTTTGGTGATTTTGACCGTAGTACATGGTTCTGTTTTGATTGTTTGGATAAAAAACAGTTAGTATATGGAAGTGGGGTGGTGATGCTGTGGTGTGGCGACGACGTGGTGACGATGAAGAACAAATCTAGGGTTTTTTGGTGGGTTGTGGCGGAAGACGGCGCAGAAAAAAAAAATCGCGCAGACAGGGCCCTTAATCGACTACGTGGTTTAATCGACTATGTTCAATAGTCGATTAAGACTTAATCGACTATGTTCAGTAGTCGATTAAGGTTAACCGACTCTAGTTGTTAATTTTTTTTTTTTTGATTTTTTATTTATTGATTCCAATGTATAAATCAATTACAATGTTTGTATTTTTTTTAAATATAATTGATTTTGTATTTTTTTTGTAATTGTGATTTGTTATTTTTAATAATTAAATTTTTAATCGACTATCCATTAATAAACCTGATAGAGAAAAAAAATTAAAAAAATTAGAAACAAAAAAAAGTTAAAAAATAAATAATTTCCTTAATCGACTATGAAGCACAGTCGATTTAAGACTAATCGACTATGCTTCATAGTCGATTGAAAAAACGGAAAAACAAAAAAAACGCGGAGCGTGTGACTTAGTGATGAGGTGGTGGGCGAGGGTACAGCTGGAAAGCATAATAGCTGAAATTGGAATTGGGCTTTTCTCAAATGGTCTAAAATATTTTGAGTCTTTCCCCATTAAAAAAATAATGGGAGATTATGTCAAAGAGCCCCTTATTTTATAGGGCATATGACAAAATAGACCCATGAGTCTAGGGATGTCAAAAAAACTCGATCCGCTAGCTACCAGTGGATACCCGCCTCGTTTAAAACTCATTAAAAATGAAACTATTATGTTTCGGTAATAACATTTGATTCTTATTTTAGATGAAGCATAAATTAATTTGAGTAAAAATAATAGGGCAAAAATAGGGGGTTTTGTGATTAGCTCTTTAGCAATTTACAAATTTTAACAATTAGAATAAACACAGTGTCCCCAATGAAATAAACCCATATTGTTGATGCACATATACTAAACCAGAAAGTGAATTTACATAATAGATTTGGCACAATTAAAGTTGTTCATAAAATTCCGTTGTAGTCTAGTTGGTCAGGTTACTCGGCTCTCACCCGAGAGACCCGGGTTCAAGTCCCGGCAACAGAATTCCTTGTCACCATGATTCAGTCCCCATCTCCAATAATATATATATTATATATATATCACTCCATGAAAGATTCTCCTTAGCATACATAATTTTCTTTCCCAATTGAATCGGGCAATTATAAACATTATCGACGCGTTTGATTTTATTAATGTTATGTCGACGCGAATAATGTTTTTTTTAGGCAACTTTTACGATCAACTAGAGCATAAATATGTTTGAATCAGAAGTCGATTGTCGTATAAAACAAACGACACAAAAATAGTTGCATTTCAATTGAAATTTAATCCAACACGATCAAAATTTCAGGATAAATGAATATTTCGCAATTAGGTTTGAACAACTATATATATTTTTTTATGCAGACTTTTTCTGGTTCGATCACGAAATATTCATCCAACAATTAATTGGATTATTTATACTTATAATCGCTGTCATGTTTAATTATAATCAGCATGAATGGAGACGGAGTGGAAGACTTTGTCCTGCGTAGGAGACTTTGCTCTCTTAATCATAAAGAAACAAATTTACATATAGTAAATTTGTATATAAACTCGTATACAAACGTATCGATGTGTATAAATGACGTTAAATGTGGATCTAGTAAATAAATTACGAGGAAATAGATTTAAAAGAAACCTCCAGAAGAAAAACGGGTTATTTGAAAATCGGGTAAATTAGTCCGGTTTAAAATTTGTTTCTATAAGCTACATTTCACCTGAGTAAAACTTTATAGTCAATTTACAAGTTGTAGGATTTGACTTTATAAGAAGCCAATCAAAGTTGACCAAACACGCCCTAAACACGATCAATTGAATATGAAATGATCAAAGATTGATTGTTTCTTAGATTGAGATAATTCATTGAAACGTGACGGTGACCGGAATTATAATATAATAAAACTAAATTAAAGTAAAAATGAAATAAAAAAGAGGGGATGTCATTTGCTTATAAATAGTGTAATCCAAATTCTATTTACATAATACTACCATAAACAAAATTTGCTTATAATTAATTAAATTAAAAATAATTATCGACATGGCCGAAGAGAAGAAGCACCGCAGTTTCTTCCACCACAAGAAGGAAGGATGCGAAGAAGAAGAAGAAGAAAAGGTGCACGATTACGCTAAAGAACAAAAGCATCACAAGCATGTGCAGCAATTGACTACCATCGGCGCCATGGCTGCCGGTGCATATGCCGTGGTACGTACATAATTTTTTTTTCGTTTTTTTTGTTTATTTTAGGAATTTAATTATCTCCCTTAATTTGTGTTTAATTATTTACATTTTTCTCGATTATTTTGTTATTGGATAATCTTATAGTACTCACTATAGATTCGAATTAATTTTGACTTTTTTTTCTTGAGTTAATTAGTGAATGAAAAATCGAAACACATCTTCGACGAAGTCGTTTGAACTTCTTCTATGTATACATCGAAACATACTCGAATGGAATTGTATTAAACGCCCTTGTGTTGATTCTAATTGTTAAAAAAATATTTATGTTAATTTATTAGCAAAACTCCCTATAAGTCAATTAATTTAGTAGATTACCCCGTAAAAACTCGTAGTTTATGGGATTTTTTTGTAAAAATACTAATAACATTGGATTCGGGATACTGAATGCAATAAACTCGATTTGACATTTACCAGTAATTAAAAGTGTTATTATGGGTTAATTAATTAATTAAATAAATGATGAAATATAACTTATAAAACAGCATGAGAAGCACAAGGCGAAGAAGGACCCGGAGAATGCACACAAGCACAAAGTGAAGGAAGAGATAGCGGCGGCCGTGGCGGTCGGAGTACCGGGATTGCGTCCAAGAGCGTCATGAGAAAAGGATGCTAGAAGAACATAAAAATGAAGGATGCTAAGAAGAAAAAATGAAGGATTTGCTCCTTAATTAACTATGTTAATTTAATTCTTAATTATGTTGCTAATAAAAATATTTATTGCGATGCCTATGTTTCGTGATAAAGTGTGTTGTTGTTTTTATTTATTTTTTTTCCATGGCTTATGGTGTTTGTTTATATGATGATTGTAAGGCTCATTAAGTGGCCTTAGTGTTACGTGTGACGTTTAAATAATAATAATTTTATTTTATTTATATTTCTAAGTAATGAAATGTTTAATTACATGTTTAATTTAACTGTGGTGCATTGAATGATTCCATTGAAATTAATCTTTAATTGATGAAAATAAAATAAATGTATTATTTGTAGTTTTGGGTTGATGCAAATACGAAAAGTACTATATCAAAAGAATTAAATCATTAATAAAAAGGCATGAATTATAGAAAATAGGGTAAATTACGTTCACTCCTGTGTTGTTGTCAAATTATGAAAAATCTCCTCATGTTTGGGTAGATATAACCATCTCCTTCAACTATATATTATCTTACAATAATACCCCTTCAGAGGTAAATTTAGGGATGTTAAATCGGTAAAATTGAACAGAAATTTTAATACTCCAATATTCCATCCCGTTTACCGAACTGAATATACGATTTTGTTCGGTAAATAACCGAATTACATAAATTTTATATAAAAATATTTGAAAGAAATGGGTGGCAGTAACTACCCAAATAAGAGGGGTTTTTTCGTAATTTGACCATACGTCAAGGGATGGTCGTAGTTTGCCCTACTCATCCAATTAATATCATTTTGACAACCTACTCAAAATTTCAGATAAATTAATTTGAGATACTTATAAGTATGGGTTTTTTAATTTTTCATTATTTACGAATAAATCTAAAAAAAAAGAAAAACCATTATAGCACTACCCAAAATTGCATTTTTTACAAGTTGTTCATCCTATTATGAAATTATGGATTCGCCATCGATAGGAATTTCTGAATTGGAAAAGACTATATATAATCTTATTTTAGGATGTGGGGTTATGGTACACTTGTGAACTTGATATTTAGGAACAAATTTATTTTCATTTAATAACATTTACACCTTTTTTTTCTGGCAATTGAGTCTAATTAGGTCCCGTTTGGTTATTAAGATTAGATTAGTTAAGATAAAAGTATATAATTTAACAAAAATTCAATTACTCCCTCCATTCCATTTTAATTATCTTTCCAGAGAATTAATTTCATTTCAAAATAATTGTCATTTTAGGATTCCAATGAAATATTTATTGTGTTTTTTTCAACTATGCTCTTATTACTATTAAGAGAATTAATTGTTAAACATTTAATAAAAGTGGTTTTGTAGTTATTTTATTATGATTTTACTATAATCCATGCACATTTATTTGTTTTCTTAATATGTGTGAATTAGTCCAAAAAGACAATTAAAATAGAATGGAGGGAGTATTTTATTCTCGAAATGTCCAGCAAAAAAACCCTCTAAAAGATAAGATAAGTTATGATAATATGATATTACAGGATCGATCGAACAAACTATTAATGATACCAAGCATTAAATAAAGTTCAATTATTTAGTCAATAATTGTCAATCTCCACAACCAAACGATGTCTTATAAACAAACGAAGCACTGAATTTTCAATATAACTAACGGTCATTGATTATTTCAAATGATACCTTTTCTTCTTCTAGCGACACTTGATTTTTCCAAAGCCTTTTTTAAAATTCAATGTGTCTATTTTATATACTACTATCCAACTCTTTGATTGACTTTGATCAAAATTCTTTTTTATATTAAAACAAAAAAACATATATAAATTTTTAAATTATAGCTATGCAATATTATTAAAATTATTGAACGGGCCTAACCCAAATCACTGTCAATTACCTGGTACAAGTAAGATTAATTATTAAGTATACTCTTGTTAGCTAATATTTCAAGAATTAGGATCTCAATTAATTAATCTAGGATCCAATAGCTATTTACCAATAGGGTTTTATCTATGTTGCATCGTGTGAATCATATCGTATTTAATTACAATAAATAATAATCTATAAATACCACACACTACTCAATAGCCTAATGCACAATATTAAAAAGGCAAACAAGTGTAATAATTCATCATTTCTCATAATATTTATTCATAAATTTACTTTGCCATGGCCGAAGAGGATCACCACCACCACCACCTCTTCCACCACAAGAAGGAGGAGGAGACTACGGAGGTCGAGGCGGTCCACTCGGAAACCAGCGACCGCGAGAAATATGAGAAGGAAGAGAAGAGCCACAAGCATAAGGAACACCTCGGCGAGATGGGAGTCGTCGCCGCAAGTGCTTTTGCCTTGGTACGTAATTATTTCTACAAAAATCAGAATATTAATATATTTTTATATTTAATTCTTATTTATTTACTTTTTCATTACTGGTTTAGAAAATATCATAATCAGAAGCTTAAGTTGTTAGTGATGTGAATTATTTAATATTTATATCTTCAACTGGCATATACAGATCGTAAAATATAACATATTTAGTATTTCGTTATATATATATATAGCATGAGAAGCACAAGGCGAAGAAGGACCAGCAGCACGAGCACAGACATAAAATAGAGGAAAAAATAAAGATGAGATTTTTAGAGTTTGATGAATAAAATCAATTTAGTAAATGATTTTTTCCTGATTTAGGTGTGTGTCTTAGCTCCACTTTTTCAACTTTTCTAGATTTCAGCGCCGCTCATAATTAATTTCATCTCACTATCTTATTCCAACTTCAATTTTTCACCTGACTCAGCAAAAATTATTTCTTGATCTGCTGCTAAATTGACACATAAATTAAATTAATTTTTTTTGGCAGGTGACTTCTGTAAAAGAATTGAGTGGACAAATCTGTCAGATTTGCGGAGACGAGGTCGAATTTACTGTCGATGGCGAGCCGTTTGTTGCCTGTAATGAATGTGCATTCCCTGTTTGTAGATCTTGCTATGAATATGACAGAAGGGAAGGCAATCAATCTTGCCCTCAGTGCAAAACTCGATTCAAGCGAATAAAGGGTATAATCGGGTTTCTGTTTTCGTCGCTAAATATCCAATTTTTACTTCAATTTCTCCTCTCAAAGATTGCTTTTTTATTTTTTGTGGGTGAAAATTAACTAGCTATGAAATTTTTTCAGGTAGTCCAAGAGTTGATGGAGATGAAGATTAAGAAGAATTCGATGATTTGGATAGCGAATTCGATTATGATCATAACAATAATAAAGGCCACACTCGTCAAATTTGAAGTGAGCATATATATATTTATATATTCTCTTGAAATATATCATGTAAGTTATGTGTGGAGTGTGTGATCCAAGTTTTAATGTATTTCATCTGGTAATTACAATTTATAATCAAATTTTGGTATTTTCTTGTGCCGTAAATGATTTTTTTTCCGGTTATTTTATTTATGTTCATTATTATTATGTAACCTATGGTGGATGTCTATAGGAGTTACAAAATCATTAGTGTGTGTAATTAGAGGTGATAATGGTGGATGTTAAGGCCATTCATTCCCTTGTAACTCATGACCTTTTGAATGGTCTTCTTGTACTATAAAAGGGACATCATTGTATGGAGTTGAGATACACTTGAAGCTAAGGAATAATATATCACATATTCTCCATACTTTATTCTCTACTTCTTGTATATTGTTTCTTAGTTTCTCAACACGTTATCAGCACGATTGTTCTACTTTAATTTTCGAGTAAAGATGATCCAAGGATGATGACTCCTTAGCCATAGAAGATGAAAGGGAGTTGTTTTTAAATATTTTATTGTTGTTTTGAATTGATAAAATATTAACCATCTTACTTTTGTTGTAGGTGATTTTTCGTGCAATTCACGAGTTTGTACTTCGATGTCACATGAACGTGTGTATTCAAAAGAGAAGGAATTTCACTTTTTCTAATATTGTGTTTATTGTCATTAATTGGTTTAGATCTTCACAAGAATGAAGTCATTTACAAGAGGAGCTGCCTAAGGATCATTTACAGGGGCAGAAACACATGCAGGGGGAGTTGAATTCGTTGTGAACCACCTACCGAAGCCACTACTGTGGGAACAGTTGCTGAAACTGTGGCACTCACTATTGCAGCAGTTCATGGCACTCTTGTTGCTGAAAGAGATGGAGATGATGAGCTGTTCCTTTAATGCTGAGGATGATCTTTAGTTTTATTGTTTCCGTCTATCCTCTGATTGTTTTATTTTCAGGTTTTTATTCAGGGGGAGAAAATGATTAGAATCAATCAATGACAAAGGGGGAGATTGTTAGAATCTAATTGGATTCTAATAAACAAGGGATGAGTAAAGACTTGTGCAACAAGTCCTTATGTACCGTGAAACACAAAAGGGAAGTCTCCTTGTTTACTCTAATTCTTTAATTTGTCATTAATTGTTTCTTTTATATAGAAAACTATCTTATTAATTAAAAAGATTTATTCTTAACTTAATGACTTGTGTAGAAGTGTTGTGAAAGAAGAATTCATTCTTGCCATATATTACACACATACGTGTGAATTGTGAAAGAGAAAGAGATTTCTTTTATATATTGATATTTTTCTTGTTTGTCATTAATTAAGAATTATTTATTATAAGGAGTCTTCTATTAGGAATGAAAGTCAAGAATTCCTCTTACGGATTCTCATCTATTTTCATTAATTAGTATTTTGTTAATTGTAGAAATTAGATTAGATAAAGAATAAATATTTAGTTTTCTATATTATGAAATTCCTTTTCCTTCTTGACCATGACTCTTTAACCTAATTATTTTTCTTGTACAGGAAGATTCAATCACGTATAAAAGGGAAGACATCACAACGTGATTGAGTGCGGCTTTTTGGAGAGAAATTTTTTCTATTTTCTGTGTTGCTCTTCCAGAGTCTTTTTATCGAGAGAAAAATTAACATAGAAAATATTATTTTCTCTCGTTTTTATTGTTCCATCGTGATACGTGATTTTCATAGAAAATATATCAGCTTCAAGGCTTTGTGGTGAAGACATCAAGATTCAAGGAGTATCACAAGTTTGCTTCTTCTATATAAAAAGAAGATCAGTTCTTCGGGAGAGGGGCTTAAATAGATCTCAGGAGGAGATCGATCCGCCGACTGAGGGATTCAGCGTTGAAGGGAGTTCAACCGTGTGGAGCAAGGGACGTGCTGCAAATTGAAGATTTATAATTCAGCGTAGTATACAAGAACGGCGTCAACAAAGAGGGAGTCTTTGTATTTTGATTAAGTCCTATTATTGTATTCGTAAAACTAAAAATTAGTAAATTTTATTTGCAGGTCCCCGTGGATGTAGGGTACAATTGTATTCGAACCACGTTAAAATTTGTGTCTCGTTTATTTTTGTTTTTACGAACTCTTCACGAACTGGTGCAACACTTCACGCAACAGTAACGAAAAACTGAATCTGACACAAATAATTTATATCTACACGAAATAAATTCTAACAGTCAAATTATGAAAAATCTCCTCATGTTTGGGTAGATACAACCACCTCCTTCAACTATATATCATCTTACAATAATACCCCTCCAGAGGTAAATTTAGGGATATTAAATCGGCAAAATGGAACCGAAATTTTGATACTCCAACATTTCATCCCGTTTACCGAACTGAGTATATGATTTTGTTCGGTAAATAACCGAATTACATAAATTTTATGTAAAAATATTTGAAAGAAATGGGTGGCAGTAACTACCCAAATAAAAGGGGTTTTTCGTAATTTGACTATATCTCAAGGGATGATCGTAGTTTGCTCTACTCGTCCAATTAATATCATTTTGACAACCTACTCAAAATTTCAGATAAATTAATTTGAGATACTTATAAGTATGGGTTTTTTAATTTTTCATTATTTACGGATAAATCTAAAAAGAAAAAAAAAACCATTATGGCACTACCCAAAATTACATTTTTTTACAAGTTGTTCATCCTATTATGAAATTATGGCTTCGTCATCGATAGGAATTTCCGAATTGAAAAAGACAATATATATAATTTTATTTTAGGATGTGGGGTTATGGTACACTTGTAAACTTGATATTTAGGGAACAAATTTATTTTCATGGGCAAATCGTAAAAAGGCCCATCACATGGGACTTAAATGCATTTTAATCCACAAAAAAAGTAGTCTCTCAATTAAGCCCATCCCAATGTCTTTAGTCTAAAATACCCTCAATAATATAATTCTTAACAATTCCACCCATTATGCTCTAACTTCCTTAATACAACACATTGACCCCGGATTTAAACAAATATATCACATTAACCCCCAAAACTTTTTTTTTTCAGAAAATAATTTTTTTTCTGAACTGTTTTTTTTTTCGGCCAGATTCCGGCGTTGACTTTTTTTTTTCTTAAAAAAATATTTTAATTAATTTTACTGTCTTGGCTGCTAAATTACTGTCTCCGGCAGATATTTAACTGTCGGACACAGTAATTTCAGGAAAACAAAATTCAAAAAAAATAAATAAATAAATAAATTCAACGCCGGAGACCGGCGGTCTCCGGCGGTCAACGCCGGAATCTGGCCGGAAAAAAAATATTTTAGAAAAAAAATTATTTTCTGAAAAAAAAAAGTTTTGGGGTTAATGTGATATATTTGTTAAAATCCGGGGTCAATGTGTAATATTAAAGATGTTAGAGCATAATGGGTGGAATTGATAAGAATTAGGGTTAAAATTGGGGTCAAAATTGAAATTTGGGTTAAAATTGGTTAATTGATGAAATTGGGCTAAATTGGGGTGTAAATCATGAAATTGTTGAATTGGGTATCAATGAATTGGGGGTAATTTTGGTATATATAAAGGGATTTTCCTTATTTGCAAATAAGTTTGAATGGGTTGAATTTATTTGAAAGACAAAAAAATTAGATGTCCCTATTTTAATTAAGTGCCCTTGTCATGGGCCTATTTGCCATTACCCTTATTTTCATTTTATAACATTTACACCTTTTTTCTGACAATTGAGTCTAATTAGGTCCCCTTTGATTATTAAGATTAGATTAGTTAAGATAAAAGTATATAATTTAACAAAAATCCAATTACTCCCTCCATTCCATTTTAATTATCTTTCTAGAGAATTAATTTCATTTTAAAATAATTGTCACTTTAGGATTCCAATGAAATATTTATTGTGTTTTTTTTAACTATGCCCTTATTACTATTAAGAGAATTAATTGTTAAACATGTAATAAAAGTGGTTTTGTAGTTATTTTATTATGATTTTACTATAATCCATGCACATTTATTGGTTTTCTTAATATGTGTGAATTAGTCCAAAAAGACAATTAAAATAGAATGGAGGGAGTATTTTATTGTCGAAATGTCCAACAAAAAAAATCCTCTAAAAGATAAGATAAGTTATGATAATATGATATTACAGGATCGATCGAACAAACTATTAATGATACCAAGCATTAAATAAAGTTCAATTATTTAGTCAATAATTGTCAATCTCCACAACCAAACGATGTCTTATAAACAAACGAAGCACTGAATTTTCAATATAACTAACGGTCATTGATTATTTCAAATGATACCTTTTCTTCTTCTAGCGACACTTGATTTTTCCAAAGCCTTTTTTAAAATTCAATGTGTCTATTTTATATACTACTATCCAACTCTTTGATTGACTTTGATCAAAATTCTTTTTTTTATATTAAAACAAAAAAACATATATAAATTTTTAAATTATAGCTATGCAATATTATTAAAATTATTGAACGGGCCTAACCCAAATCACTGTCAATTACCTGGTACAAGTAATATTAATTATTAAGTATATTCTTGTTAGCTAAGATTTCAAGAATTAGGATCTCAATTAATTAATCTAGGATCCAATAGCTTTTTTTCGAAAAAAAAAAAAAAAGGATCCAATAGCTATTTACCAATAGGTTTTATCTATATATGTTACATCGTGTGAATCATATCGTATTTAATTACAATATATAATAATCTATAAATACCACACACTACTCAATAGCCTAATGCACAATATTAAAAAGGCAAACAAGTGTAATAATTCATCATTTCTCATAATATTTATTCATAATTTACTTTGCCATGGCCGAAGAAGAGAATCACCACCACCACCACCACCTCTTCCACCACAAGAAGGAGGGGGAGGAGGAGAATACGGAGGTCGAGGCGGTCCACTCGGAAACCGGCGACCGCGAGAAATATGAGAAAGAAGAGAAGAGCCACAAGCATAAGGAACACCTCGGCGAGATGGGAGTCGTCGCCGCAAGTGCTTTTGCCTTGGTACGTAATTATTTCTACAAAAATCAGAATATTAATATATTTTTATATTTAATTCTTATTTATTTACTTTTTTATTATTGTAATTCAAAGAGTTTTAGAAAACATCGTAACCAGAAGCTTAAGCTGTTAGTGATGTGCATTATTTAATATTTATATCTCCAACTAACATATATAGATCGTAAGATATATATAACATATTTAGTATTTCTTGATTATATATATATATATATATATATATATATATATATATATATATATATATATATATATATATATATATAGCATGAGAAGCACAAGGCGAAGAAGGACCCGGAGAACGAGCACAGACACAAAATAGAGGAAGAGGTGGCGACTGCAGTGGCAGCAGGGTTAAGTGGCTACGTCGTCCACGAGCATCACGAGAAGAAAGAGGCAAAGGAAGAAAAAAAGAAGGCGGAGGGAAAACACCACCACCTTTTTTAAATATTAATGACAACCATATATATATATATATATATATATATATATATATATATATATATATATATATTAATGTGTGAACCACTATATACCCTAAATAATAAATTTGAAGTGAGCATATATATATTTATATATTCTCTTGAAATATATCATGTAAGTTATGTGTGGAGTGTGTGATCCAAGTTTTAATGTATTTCATCTGGTAATTACAATTTATAATCAAATTTCGGTATTTTCTTGTGCCGTAAATGATTTTTTTCCGGTTATTTTATTTATGTTCATTTTTTATTTTTTATTATTTTTTGGTTTATTTGTATGGTAGCCATTATTTTGTGTCACGTTCTTATCTAGTTAATGTGCGACTTCTATTTTTTCTATTTATAAACCTTCATTATTACACGATTTTAATCGAGTATAGTCCCAAAATGAGAAGGAAAAAGTAATCAC